TGGTTGAGGTGCAAAGCCTTGCTCACCGCAGGGATAAGTCCCTGCGTCTGTTGCCATCTCCCCACACCGAACGCTGCCTGTCCTTGAGCTGTCACCCCCAGGTGGGTGCGATGGCACGGGGGTGGGGGCTCCCTGAATCCTGGGGGGCTGCTGCTGCTCCCTGTTTGAGATCAAACTGAACCTTCACGGTGTTAAATCTGCTTTTGCAGTGGTGGGCAGGCGCCGATCCGCGGGGGTGCTCACCCCAGCTCGTCTGGGGCAGGGTCAGGGACGGGGGTGGCCACGGGTGGGTTTCGGGGGGTGATTTTGGGGTCTTTCTGCCGAATCGCGGGAATTCCCGCAGCCCCACTCCCTGCTCCCGGCGTGGGAAGGGGCGGTGCGAACGGCGGGGGTGGGGGGGAAACGCACCAAGGCCTCTGCCACCGTGTGCTGCTCACCAGGAGCGGTGCCGGGATGGGGGCGCACCCTGTCCCGCCGCGCCCCTCCACTCGAGGGTCCCCGCCTTCATCCCCGGGGTCCCGCAGCGGCGGGGGGGAAGCATTCACTGCAGCCCCCTCCGGCGCCGCGTGGGGGAGTTCGGACCCGGGTGCCGGTGTTCTGGTGGGACACCCCCCCTCCCCGCGGCTCAGCGGGGCCCCGGGGCTCGGGATCTGCCCAAACCGCGCCGGGGGCTCCCCGGCCACGCCCCATCACAGGCCACGCCCATTCATCGCATGGCCACGCCCCCTCCGTACCAAGCTCTCCGCCGCCGGGACTACAACTCCCGTCATGCCTCGGAACCCTTCCCCGGAAGCGGCTTCCTCTCTCTGGCTGCTTCCGGTGTGGCGCTGAGGAGGGAGTGAGGGAGCGGTAAGATGGCGGCAGCGGCGGTGCTGGAGTTCCAGCGCGCCCAGTCCCTGCTCTCCACCGACCGCGAGGCCTCCATCGGCATCCTGCACTCCATAGGTGAGCGCCGCCGCCGCTGCTGCCCCGCCGCCCGCCGCCACCGCCCGCCAGCCGCTTCCTGATGCCCGCCGCTGCTGCCGGCTGCTGACTCACCGTGCGAGCCGGACGGGAGCGAGGCCTGGGCCCGGCTCCACCGGCACCGGCCTGGCCCAGCGCGCTCCACCGACGCGGGGCCTGCACTCGCACCACGGGGCCGGGCCGCTGCCCGCCGCCGGTGGGGGCTCCCCGGTCCGGGAGCTGCCGGGTGGAGCGAACGGCCGAGCCCAGAGCCTGTCAGCGGAGCCCTGCGGCTCGGGCCGGCTTCTGCTCCCCGTTGAGCGCGGTGTGTCCCCGGCGCAGCGGTGTGTGGGCTTGTCTGCCCTGAGACCCGGGGAGCGGCGGGTACCGGGGCTGCGGCGGAGCGGTGCAGGCAGGAGATCGCCGGTGCCGGCTCTTTGCTTCTCGGGTTGTGTGCCAGCGTCTGGGGTTTGCGGCGGGCCCTCAGCGTGCTGGAGGAGGAGAAGGCTCTGCTGGGAGCGATATTCGCTCTGGTAACGCTAAAATTCACCCGGTATTTAAATTACCTTCTCGGCGCCCTGCAGGAAGTTTTGGGGAGTTTCTGTTGGGCTGTGTCTGGAGTTTTAACCTGTGCTTGTTTCAAGACCGATGCTGTTGGCATCAGTCACTTTGTTGGGCTGTCTCGGACATTCAGTGGTGCCAAGATGTTGGTGCTGTCGAGTGGTTTGTAGGCACGTTGTGGACATTATCAGTGTGTACAGGGCAGGGAGAGGGGCTGTGTTTGAAACTGATGCTTGAAAGACTAATTCTTGCTTCTCCTAACGTGATGACTTTGCTGAAAAGGTGCTGTGACCTGCTGTCACCCCGCTGCAGTGGGCAAATGAGTGTTTCCTAATGTCTGTGCTACACCTTGCATGGTCCGTGCAAGTTGCTCACCCCTCTCGGTGTTTGGCTGCTTAATTAGTAGTTGATGTTCTTGAGCCTGTCAACACACCTATAACCAGTCAGGCTCAGGAGTGAATCAGCTTGTGCTGCTGGACGATGTGAGTTGGAGCAGGCCCGAGAACCCCCCAGTGCTGGGGTGCTCCTCTTGAGAGCAAAGTTATTTTGCTGTTGACACCTCGTGTTTGGTTACGGGGGCTGAAAGCTGCAGCCTGCACTCGGGGGCTGCTCAGAGGATCCCAGCTCCCTTTGCAGAGCAGGGCAGCAGTTGGGTGTTGTTTGTGTACAGGTTGGATGGTGGAGATGAATTTTTCCGTGGTAGTAGGTGACAGGGAAGAAAGTGTTGTTTTGTGGCTGACTTACATGAAAATCCTGTTGTGTAAACACAGGTTTGGTGCTGCTGTATGTCATTTGGGCCTTCTGTGTACTTCAGAGGCAGTTACTCATGTTGGTACACAGTGCTGATCAGATCGTTGGAGTTCAGTGTGGGAAGGAGTGCTGCCTCCTGCCGCAGTTGTAACACACGATCTGCTCCTGAGCGAGGAGCAGACTCACCCTGCTCACAGAGCCGATGCTGTTCTTGTGCTGCATTTGCACCACGGGATCACACCTTGGTACGCAAAGCAGAAACATAAGGAATGGCCAAACCAGCACACCCAGCCCTGGAAATTCCATTGCATTTCTTCCACTGGGTTTTGTGCCTTCAGCAGGGACAGTCTGTTCCATGGTGATGCTTTTAAAATGAAACTTGAATAGCTGGACAAGCTTAATGAGAATACTTCAAAACTTAAGTTATATTCAGGTTGGAGCTTGCAGCTGTATCTGTCAGCTGGATTAAAGCTTTTGTGCAGTACAGATGAAGCACTTGGACTTACACCTTTAAACTTTCCACATAATCTGCTTTCCAGATCTCACTGTAGCCTGTTGTAAGTTACTTTTGCTGGTGCCTTTCCATGGGCTGAGGAGTAATGATTGTCCTCTAACTGAAACAGCATTAAAGGTAGCTTCTCAACTCTTTTCCTAGTGAAACGTGATGTCCAGGAGAATGATGAAGAAGCGGTGCAAGTCAAGGAGCAGAGCATCCTGGAGCTGGGCTCGCTTCTGGCCAAGACTGGGCAGGCAGAAGGTGAGCGTGAAATAAGTAACTGAGGTAATGGGTGAGAGACACATACATTCAGATTAATGTAGTCTCCTTATTTGATGAGATGGAAATAAAAGCAGGTTTTGGCAGGGAATGTTCCCTTGGAGACAGGACTAGATAAACAACATAAAATACTAACTGCATGTTACTTGTCCTGGTATTCCAAAAGATTGCTGATGCATTGGGCAGTGTAGTTCCTGATTCTTTGATGTGTGGCCATTTTAATACAGGTGGATAAAGTTTTGTTAAGTTATGTTTGAGATGAGAAGTTTTTCAAGGCCGTGTTTCAAATTGGAAGGTTTGTCCCAAAACGTCCTTACTCACCAGCAGCTTGCTTCTTGATTGAATTGATGTGAGGCTCCCCTGCAGTCCTGATCCAGCTCTGGGGCAACAGCACCAGAGTGATGTGGAGCTGCTGGAGCAAGTCCAGAGGAGGGCACGGAGCTGCTGTGAGGGCTGGAGCAGCTCTGCTCTGGAGCCAGGCTGAGAGCTGGGCTGGTTCAGCCTGGAGAAGAGAAGGCTTCTGAAGGGGAGACCTTAGAGCAGCTCCAGGGCCTAAAGGAGCTACAGGAAACCTGGAGAGGGGCTTTGGACAAGGGTCTGTAGGGACAGGACAAGGGCAATGGCTTTAACCTGCCAGAGGGGAGACTGAGATGACCTCTTAGGCAGAAGCTTTTCCCTGTGAGGGTGCTGAGGTGCTGGCACAAGGTGCCCAGAGAAGCTGTGGCTGCCCCATCCCTGGCAGTGTTCAAGGCCAGATTGGACACAGGGGCTTGGAGCAAGCTGCTCTAGTGGAAGGTGTCCCTGCCTGTGGCAGGGGGTTGAAACTGGAGGAGCTGTAAGGTCCTTTCCAACCCAGACAGCTCTGTGATTCTGTGATTTATCTACTGAAACATTACCTCCTTGCCCAGCTGTACACGGGAGCAAGACTCAACAGTCCTGTTTGTGAATGTATGAAAGGACAGAAATGGAGTAGAGTTCCCTATTCCACGTTTTTTTTTATTGGAATCTGTTCATGTCTCCTGTTTCCTGGAAGGCTCAGGGCAGTGTGTGTGTTCTCCTGTACTTCTCAGGTTGGTTTTGTTTCTTTTGCTGGGGAATATTCTGGCCTTTTCTGCAGCACCTTTCACCTCGAGCGCTATAGCAGCTGATACACCACATCTGTACAAAGTGTGTCTGTCCATGGCAGGCAGTTTGCCATAGTATAGCCCTGATGTTTTCTAACCGTGCGCAACAATGATTCGGAATGTGAAGTGAAGCATATATGCTTTTAACAGTCTGAAACTGGTTGAGGAAAACAAGCAGCAGAAGGTTTAATCAATCTGAAGTTCAGCTGGGTGATGAGAACTAATGTTGGAGTAGCTCACGGAGAGCAGTGTGAGGTCTCTGATACCCACTGATCAAGATCTTAGTTTTATCTTTCTTCTGAAATGCACACGTGGTGTCCTGCTGTCTTTGTAAATACCCATTTTGACTTGGCCATTCATCTGCCCATGTCTGCATGTGTTTGAGCATTCTGGACACTGATCTCCTTTCAATTTGCAGTTGAACAGAGCCTGTGACGAAGTAGATTACTTGCACTTAGATTAGTGCTGGAAACAGAGGTGCTATTTCATCTCACCTAACTATAGATGTCCACGTTTGATTTCCTACTGTGAGCTGTTTTTATAGTCAGTGGAGAAAAATAAGCCCTTCAAGCACACAGTTCATCTCTTCCTGCAGTTAGAATTTGGAACAAATGAAGCTTGCTGTACAAGTGCCAATTTCTCTAATTGAATATTAATTGAGTTGAGGTCCTTTAACTCAGTAATAGGCGTCTGTGCTGTACAGGTGCCCTTTGCACTCTCATGTTTGCTTCTGTAGAGATAACTAAATTTGGCTTTACTCCTGCACCAGGAAAGATGAGTGTGTTTGGGCTAAAAAGGGGAAATCAACAGAAGTATCTCTTCAAGTAAATGTGTGGATGTGCCCCCAGAGAAGAGTTGTTACTGTTGCAGAACTTGAAATAGTTTTGAGATTAAGCCAAAGTCTTACATGAGTGTAAAGACCTTCAGTGTATTCTCATGGCTAGCTAATAGATTTTTTTTTTTTTTTTTAAGGGGAAGGCTAAATAATTGAAAATGTCAATGTTAATTCATCAAATCCAGGTTTATGAAGGAGCAAATGTGAAATGTGCTTGTAATCTATTAAAGGAAGCACTAAGATGCAGATCAACAATACGCTGAAGAAAAGGAATTTGACAACGCAATGAAGCCAGTTGTGTGTGTATAGATTGGAGTGGGATGACCAGGTTGTGCTTTCTGGAGACACGTGGTGAGGATGTGGGATGAAGAAAGAGGGTACCACAGCTCAGAGATGTGGGAAAGACTGTCACCTTTCCTTTCTGTGTGCTTTCTAGGACGAAGCAGGCTATAGGAGTGAGGAGCAGTCAGGGGCATCAGCATCTTCAGCAGGTACAGCCCTTCCCAAAGATGCTAGCTCCAGGCAGGCACACAGAGCTCAGATCCAATGGGAGTGAATCCATCGCTGCTCAACCTCACAAGGAAATGACCAAGACTGAGCAGTTTCTGGCCCAAATGAAGCAGATCCCCTCATTGTAGCTCTTGCTGCGTGTGGTTTAGTTTTAGCGAGTGGAATTTCTTTGATGGATTCAAGGTGATGCAATGGCTCATTGGCTGTTTTCAAGTGATAACTGCTCAGAGATGAAGGGATCTGGGAGGAAAATCAGCTGCACTTTGGTGGGGTTTGAAAGTTAAAACTGACTGGCCAAGAGTGGGAAATGAACGTGTAGTTTTTAGAGGACTAACTTCTATTGATCTACAGGCTTTATTTAACAACAGTAGTAATACAAATGGCCTCTTTATCATCTGCTTGGTAGAGATAAAGGGTTGAACTTGTAAATTAGTTATGTATTTTAGGACAGTTCTAGATTTTGATAGCATAGCTTTAAACAATAGGATTGGAAAAACTCGGAGCAGGAATTCGGGTACATGGCATGTTAGCTGTGGAAGCACTTTCTCTAAGGGTGAGCAGCAGAGCTGCTGCTCGTCACTTCTCCAGAGCTGTCAATCACACCCCTTTACCAAGCAAGTAAAAAAAAGAATCCTAAAAATAGTTGACAGTTACATTGGTGGGAAAGAGAAATTTCTATGGGAACTTTGAGCTTGCATGGCTAAATGTGGAACTCGGAGCTTGCATGGCTAAATGTGTAGTTTGCAAAATGTACAGATATATTCTAGCTGTTGACATCAGATCTGTTTTCCAGTGAATTCTTGGGCAAGTGTTGAGCAAGTCAACAGAAAGGGAAGTACTGCAGTATGGGCTTTTCTTTTCCTGAAGTTCCTTTCCTGTATGGAAGAGTGTGTTTGGCACTAAAAACATGATGTGGTTGATTCTGAGGAGCGGGTGTAGTGGAGTGATGTGCTGTAGGAAGAGTTTGTACTGCGCAGTAGTTGAGAGTTGGTAGATCTCATCGAGAGTCTCTCTGCCTTGATGTCAGACAGAACTGGCAAATTCTTAGTTACAGAGCTCAAAGCTATAAAGGATATGGTGCTGTGACCTGATAAGAAGTCAGCCTGCTACCTGTGCTAAGTGCAGCGTTTTCAAGTGTTTGTGTTACTTGCATGAGGGAAGAGCACAAGAACCAGCTGGGCAACTCCAGCTTTAGGGCTGCTTCTCTTTCAAGCCCAATAAGCCTGCAGGGGGGTTCTCCCCACAGCGCAGCAGAGGGGGACAATCTTCTCCCTTGACCTAAACTTCTAACTTGTGCTGTGTGATTCCAAAAACTAACTCCTTTCTGCTCCCGTGGATGTGGAGTCCTGAAACTGCCAAGATGTTGACTGCTGCGTTCCTCTGCTCTGTAGGAATGACACTTTAAGTGTATTCCTTCTTCATAAGGAAAGACATTTCCTTTGCAGGCTTGAGTCTAGTTTTGTAACTGTAAGCTACTAATGGGAGTAGGAGAAACAGCAATCTAGTTAAGTAAGATCTAACAGGATGATGGGGGTAGTTGAAGTGTTAAGAACTGTCATTTGCTCAGCAGCAGAGCGCGGGGTGTATCGGACTTTATAGGGCTGGCTGGTATGGCAGAGTGAAACATCATGCTGTGAGTCAGTAAAAACATACTTAAGCTATAAACTCCATTTTATAGAAAAATCTCAAAGCATTTAACAGACTCCTCCCATTTTTAAAGCATGCCTGAGGCAAGTGTAGTTACAAATGGTGTTATAATTGGGTGAAATGAAGTAACGGGAAATGTGTGCTGTGCGGGTGAGACAGGAGCTCAGCACTCACCTCTCAGTTGCTCTTTTCCTGTAAATGTGTTGAAAGACTGCTTATAAACTGTTTGATGTAATAATCAAAACAGTTTAATAAATACTGCTGTGTATAGACATGTCAAATGGAACTTTTGGCTGTGTGGTTGTGTTTCATGATTTTATTTTCTGTATGCAGAGCTGGGAGGACTCCTGAAGTATGTTCGACCCTTCTTGAACTCCATCAGCAAAGCAAAGGCTGCCCGCTTAGTCCGATCCCTGCTTGATCTGTTCCTTGATATGGAGGCAGCGACAGGACAGGAGGTGAGATTTAAATTTCATCAGCAGTCTGTCCCTCAAAAGCCTCTAACACCATTATCTGACCCAGTTTGCTCCACGCTGAAGAATTATTCATGTCAGGAAACATTCATTTAATGCATTTGGATAGATTCTATTAATAAAACATTAGATAATTTAATTCACTCATCATCATGTTTGTCTGCAAGCCTTATCCTGCTGCAGGTTAGGAGTAACTCTTGCGCTGAGCAGTTTGATTTGTGTTGCTTGCTGTTAGGTACACAACATCAGTAGTAGTTTGTAGTGTGAGATTACCGTAAATGGTGACAGAATCTTTGCCCCTCTTTTTTAATGGAAGAGGTTAAGGGAGGTGGAGTAGGATGTGTAGGTGAGAAGGGAACCACGGAAGACATCGGGAGAAAATGACTTCACACTTCTTCTAAAGGTAACTTCATAAAAATTATGGTGTTTGGATGCAGTCTCAAAAGGTGGCTTTTTATGGTGGGAGAAGAACTTGGAGTAACAGCGAGGGAAATACAGCCAAGTTAGTAAAATTATTTGCTTTCAAGCATATTCTGAAGCCAACCCCAAAACCTCAAGTAATTGTGACACCTAACCTGTGAGCTTCTGATGAAGCAGTCCTCAGTTGTTTCCATGTCTGTTCAGAGGGACATTTGCTTCCTCAGTGAGATGTATGTTAAGACAACTCTCAAGAGCCCAGTAAAGCAATGAAATTAGAGTTTTCTCCAGCTCCTAATGCTCCAGCTATCACTGTGCAATAAATTGAGACTTCATAATGGCTTTTCATAAAGTGTCCCCATTTAATAAGCTGTGTTGAGCAGCTGACAAGCCCTGCAATGTGGTGCAGCTACAGAGCTGTTCCAGAAAGAGCTGTGATCCAGAGATCTGGGAAAAGGCATTCCTGAGCCTAGCACCTCAGGATGACTTACTGTATATTACTGGCCAGTACTAAATTGACACCCTCTTCTAATGGAGTGAGAACATGACTGCTTTATTCATCAAGAGAATCACAACAGTCTTAAAAGCATGAGAAGCCACTGGGTGCCTTCACTTTGTTTTGAAGCAGTGGATGAAACATTCAGCGTCACTTGCTGACTGGCTCCTGACTCCTGACTCTGCTGCAAACAGTGGAGCCCAGCACCTCTGTTGCTTAGTACTGCTAAAGGACACACATGATCTGGCATATTTAAGCCCTAAAACACGTGCACTTTGTTTTCTTTTATTTGTAGAGCAATTGAAAATACAGTTTTCTCTATAGCTGAGTGAAATGGAGCAACACATGCTGGAAGGGACCTCAAAGTCTTCCCGTCCATCCCTTGCCCTAAGGCAGAATCAGTTCTCATGTACCCAGATGTTTTTATTTCCAACAAAAACACAGCTGCCTCAGAAATGCTATTAGGATTTCAGCAGTAATTTTTACTGGTGAAACTTTGGAAACCAAATTTTTATTTTTGTATTCCAGTGTGGGAGGATTGTCCGTGGTGGCCAGAAAAAGTTATTGGAAGCCAGATGCGTTAGAAAAGGAATTGAAAAAGCTGGTCTGTTGGGTTTTGTGATTGCTAAAGCTTAAATTCAACCTTAGTTTGCTTTCTGAACTTTACTTCCTCTTGCAATATATAAGTGGTATCATACCGTGAATGTTGCTATGAAGTGCAGGAAGTTAATCTAGCAAATGGAATATGAAAATCCACAGCACAATTTAGCTGGTCTGTGTCATTTTGCGCAACATTTCTATGAGTTTAAACTCTGGTTTCAGTCTAATGCAGCCTGAGGCTATAGTGTTCCATGTGTGGTTACCAGTGAGTCTTTGGTGAGAAGCGTGTTAACCTTGCACTGGTGAACTGCAGTTCTCATCAGTGATGAACTACAAAACCACACTTACCCTGCTGTATTGAAAGAGGCATTTTGGGTAGCACTAATGCTGAAGGCTGCCAGCCCGGGCTGGCACAGCATTTGAGCAAGGAATGATTTTGCTTCCTTAAACTACATTGTGGAGATTCAGGCTTTGTTGTATTTCTGTTGCTTTGTAGGAAATTATTGAAGCATACTGCTGTTTTAAAGAGGGGCAGCAGAAGGCTTTACACATTTCTTTCTGCTCCCTTTAAGGTTGACCTGTGTTTAGAGTGTATTGAATGGGCCAAATCAGAGAAGAGGACTTTCCTACGTCAGGCTCTGGAGGTATGTTAAATTGTGGATCCCAAACCTGTGTAATAGGGTTTTCCCTTTATCACATTTAATACCTGTAAAACTTGTAGTGTGTTGTCTAGGTCTTTGTACATGTAATGGATGGGTTATAAGGCCAGGCTGGATGGGGCCTTGAGCAACCTGCCTAGGGTGAGGTGTCCCATGGCAGGGGGTTGGAACTGGTTAATCTTAAGGTCCCTTTGAACCCAAACCATTCTATTGTTCTATGATAAGTGTTAAAGTTAGTGACTCTTCTTGAAGAGGCAGGATTTTACCCGTTGTCTTTAGACTGGCTGATCTTGCAAATGGTAGATCTTGCAGAACTGGACCATATAATTTAATGAACACAAACTAATTTAGTGAAGTCTGTGAGATAAGAATATGAAGTTTCGTTTTACAAAATAAATCTGTGCTACCTCTCTTTGGCTTCCCTCACAGCAGTTCCTTTTCTGTTCTCCAGGCGAGGCTGGTCTCTTTGTACTTCGATACCAAGAGGTACCAAGAAGCACTGCAACTAGGTGAGTCTTCCACTAGGTGGTGGTAGTAGATCTTGGCTTTGAGGTTAGTCTTGAGGCTGACAAGGGAAATAATGCGTCGTGCCTCTTCAGTTTTGTAGGACTTGGGCATTGATTTTTCAGAACTGTACCTGTTCTGCCACGTTTTGCTATAGCTTGATGATAACAGCTTTTAGACATATTTTTATTCTCAGCATTTGTTCATTTCCAATAATTGTGGAAGCAGAGATGAGCTGTATCCTGCTAAATGCCATCAGTTTGGCTCCTGCTGGAACATACATAGTACAATGCTGTGGTCAGAGAGTTTTGCCCAAAAACACAGTAAAAGCAGTAGTAATGCCAGGAAATGGCAAACCTCTAAGGATGTAATTGGGCAAGCTCTTGTGCAGCAGTGTAAGGGCTTCAAGAACTTGCTTCTGCACCACCTGAGATGGGGTAACTAACCCTCCTGTTCTGCTGCAAGGCAGAGTGAAGCAGCTCAGTTCTATGTCCCAGCTCCCTTTGGTGTTGTTTAGACGCTCATTTTGCACATGACTGTAATATTGTAAGATGAGGTTTAAGCTGTCTTGTGCAGGCTGATCTGCCAGCTCAGTACGTGGGTGGGTGCACTGACATGGACAGAAGTGTTCACCCATCTCACCAGCCCCCTGTAACTTCTTGAACACTGTGGTGACAAGAGTGTGTTGTGTCCAGAGTTCTGTGGGTGACTTGGATCTGATCTGAATATCAAGTTATGTGAAGTGCACAGAATTAACTATCAAGTTAGAATTGCTTTGCATACAGATGTGTCATGAACTCGGGTTTAAACTGATCAGACTCCACACTCCAAAGCT